GACCATGCAGGGAGATAACCTAAGACCCCTGCACAGATGTAGCCCATGGCAGCTCAGTATCCAAGTGGGTTCCCTAGTAAGGAAAATAGGACTGTCTCTGACATGAACTCAGTGGCTGGCTCTTTGATCACCTTCCCCTGAGGGGGGAGGGGGAAGAGCCTTACCAGGCCATAGAGGAAAACTATGCAACCAGTCCTGATGAGACCTGATAGGCTAGGATCAGATAGAAGGGGAGGAGGACCTCCCCTATCAGTGGACTTAGGGAGGAGAATGGGAGGAGAAGAGGGAAGGAGGGCGGGATTAGGAAGGGATGAGGGAGGGGTCTACAACTGGGATACAAAGTGAATAAATTATAATAAAAAATATATTAAAAAAAGACTTGGATGAAGGAGGGAGGGTGGAATTGGGAGTGAGTGAGAGAGGGGGCTACAGCTGGGATACAAAGTAAATAAACTGTAACTAATATATAAAAAAAGACTTAGACTTTTAGAGTGCCACTGTCTATTATTTTACTATTAATAAAAGAAGGCCAGAGAAAAACTTCACCTCCTTCCTATGGTCTTAAAAAAAAAATAAAAGGAAACAAAATCAAATGATATGGCCTTTAGAGATATATACATATGTAGCTAGTGTTACTATATCACGTTAAGACAGGATCTCACCATGTGACACCAGCTGTTCTGGAAGCTTTTGCGTAGACCAAACTGGTCTTGAATTAAAATAGATTTGTGTGCCGCTACCCAGCTGTACCTCACCCACCCCCTCCGAGCTGCAGTTGCTGTTTTTAAAAGCAATGATGGGACAGCCATGACACTATGGGAGAGTATTTCTCCAAGGAAGAGAAAGTAGGGAGGGTGGAACAGCTGGCAGCATGTTCAGGGCCGGGAAGGCCTGCTCTTGTTAGCCGAGCAATGCCCACAGCTGTCTGCTTACTATCCACAGAGCACATTTTCTCCTATACAGATTAAATGCTACACCTTCCATAGGAACAAGAGTCAGGTTTTAAACACTTAAATACTCAAAAGCAGCTGTCTGGCTTTATGCTTCATATTAAAAATCATTTGAGTGAAAAGATAGTTCCTCCGGTGTTTAAACATTTGAAAGCGCATGAAAAGATGAGAGACTTTTGAATTTTATAAACTTTGGGTAGCTCAATTAAAGGTTACCAGGACCCAATGGCACTGATTTACAGAAGAGAACAATGCAACCCTCACAAAGCATATCAAGCAGCAAAGGTAATAAGCAAATCAGTAGACAGGTAATTATAAAAACACAACGCTGTGACCACATAGAATTACTATGTAAATGCATCAGAGGAAAAGACAAATGAGTATTTTGATGAAGGTGAATAAAATTTCAAAGATTTCAACAACCATTCCTGATAAAAAGAAAAAGTGAATAGGAACTTATGATTGGAAGACATTATCCAGCTCACGTATCTGCAGGCCTCATGCACAGCGGTGCAATTCCAGAAGCGTACCCAGTTAAGTCTGGAAGGAGTTGAGACCGTTAGCCTCCATTGCTCTGAATCAAGTTGGTGTTCTAGAGGTCTTTGCGATTGCAGTAGGCCAACAGGTAAGAACAGGTCAGCAAAGGGCCTCTGCCACTGTGTGAACTGGAGGCTCCCTGCCCTCATGGACGCATGCACACGCGCAGACTCTCATTCACAAATACACACAGAGGATTCTGGATGGAGGACACCTGTTATGGACCACAGTTTTGTCTGAGGAAGGGAGAAAGAACAACTAAGGGTAAAGATGAACCCTGAAAAATGGGGCTGGGGAGATGGTTCAGCTGGTAGAGTGCTTTTCCTGCCAAGCATGAGGACCGGAGTTCAGATCCCAGCACCCATGTTCAAAAGCCTGGTGTGGTACCTGTCTGTAATCTCAGCACTGGGGGGGGGGCAGAGACAGCGGCATCCCAAGGGCTCATTAGTGAACCCAGCTAGCTGAATCAGAGGGCTCCATGTTCACAGGGAAATCCTGCTATTGGGCTATTGGCCAGTGATGGTTGACAGGGAAGGGAGTGTCACTCTCCTTTGGAGCTGTGGCTGCTGGAAGGTGCCTTGTGTCCACACGGGGACACAGGCAGAATTAGCTGGACTTGGGGCCATTCGTAACAAAACAAAAACCAAGACATCAGGTTGGAAGAAGACGGGATGCAGGGCACTAGAGGAGTTAGAGGTGGATGGGTACGGCTCTAAACTGCACATTGTGTGAAACTCCTAAGATGAAGAGTGTCAATGAGCTGAACCTCACCAATGAACATGCCAGACTGCATGGGGAAAAGCCCAAGAGGGCTCAACCCCACATAAAGATCTACAGGCCACCGAGGAGAGCTGGGAGAGGGAGAGGAGGTCTTCCCCAGGGAAAACACAGCAAGTGCTTGCCCAGCAGCAGTCAGTCAGCCCTGAAAACATACATACAAGTAACATATGGACCTCATAGGTTACAGGTAGCAATATATGTATACACATGTACACATACATACAAGCAACATGGACTTCATAGGTTATAGGTAGCCATATATGTATATACATATACACATACACATACATTCAATAACAGTGAATTAAGAGGAGAGCAGGGAGGGCATAGGGGAGAGTTTGGAGAAAGAAAATGGAAGGAAGAAATGAAATGAAATTATAATCTCAAAATTAAAAAATAATAAAAGTACAGTAGAGAGAGAAGACATGTGACATTGACCTCTGACCTCCACACACACATGCCCCTGCATACAGAGGCATACTTATGCATAGGCGTGCGTTTGCGCGCGCGCGCACACACACACACACACACACACACACACTTTAAAGTACATAATCTGGAACTATAGCTCAGTGGTAGATTTCATAGCTATCACACATGGTCCTCTAGGCCTTTTCTACAGCAAAGGGAAGGAGGGAGGAAGGGAAGAAGGAAGGAAGAAGGAAGAAAGAAGGAAGGAAGAAGGAAGGAA